AAAAAAAAAAAAATGATATACTAACTGCGTTCCGATAAAAACGAATGGTATACCAATCGAGTCCGTGATTAGAAAACGAAATATGTGTACACAGGCGATTAGTGATATCGTTATTATTAACAGTTTAATATCTCTAATATTGATATTACTTTTTAATTTTTTTTTGTTTTGGGTTGAACATTTTTTTATTTAAATAAATAAATTAATTTGTTGCAGTGTACGTATATCCAATTTTTCAAAAAAAATATAAAAATAAAATACTTTTTCAAATTAAATTAAATTTTTATGACTGTAAAAATGGGAAAGAAAATGTTTTTTATTTCTTATAAGTTTCACGGGACTATAATTCGTTTTAAATGATTTTATAAAGACTCAGTTCGTATACAGACTGATTAATATCAGGTTCTTACCTGCACTTCCGAAAGTATTGGCTTTAAAACATTAGTTGCAAATTTGAAATTGTATCTTAATTTTATATACAATAAAAAAAAAAAAAAGTATAAATTAGTAAATTTTTTTATGTGCACTCTAATATCATGTCAGTCTCGTGTTGTCGTAATTTTATTATTGTAATATTATTGTAATTTTAAAATTGTCGTAACAATTTTTTCCCCTAAAAATATAACAATCTTACGTAAAGCAATATAATATTTCTGTTTGGTTTATTTAGTATTCGTATGTTACACTTTATAATAATATTTGTACATAGTATTATACGGTGTAGACCGTAAACACAACGATTCGCTTACGGGAGTAAACATTTAGTGCACTAAACGTAATACCTATGAGGTTATGACATAATATGTAATAAATATATATATTAGATTCGAAAGTTTTTCCATTCATAGAGCTGTGTACGGCTTGTGTTACGGTCGTTATGGCAAAAAATAATGGTTTATGCAGTACAGTTTTTCATTTATTACAAACGCTAAAATATTTATTGGTGTTTCTTTTAAAAGTAGAACCGCCAAGTATTTTTATCTTATAAAATACGTTGGTTGTTTTTTATTATAAAATGGGATTTATTTTATTGTGACTGACTACGTTACGGTTTTGTTTTAATTCATGATTCATGTTTTTCCAATGGCTGCATACCGCTTATCGTGTGAATCGAATGATCTAAGGTGTTTGTGTTTCGATTGAGCGTTATTTATACCTAATACTCATGGGAAAACTTGGTAAAAAATTTCGTGATAATGTTAAAAAGTATACTTTCCAAATTTTGTAACTGTATTCATTCAAATATATTTTATATTTTTATGCGTTCCACCTAGCAAAATGTTGGTATTTATTTAATATTTGTATAAAAAAGAAGAGAGAAAATATATTGAATTAATTTAAAATGGTACATTTTTTTTTGTTCTATTCATATACGATTTGTGTTAAATTAATATAATTTTTTTATTTTCGAAGTATTACCATAGCTTAGCGGTGATTTTATAAACTGTCTCATTAGTATCCTAATGAGTAAGCTAAAGTGAAACGTATTTTTTCGTAACAGCTACTTGACTCTGGTCGTGCTGATGGCGAAGAAGACGCTGTCGGTGATTATCCAAACGCAGAGGAGAATGTATCGAGTAACAGTCAAGAAGGTGGTGGTCAGAATGGTAAACAATTATTAGACAAATATTTTTTATTAATATTATATTTTATTTCTTTAACTTACAAATAGAGTAAATTTTAGATTTAGTGTATCATGTACAGCACATTCCATTTGTCAGCCTAAAGACAATTAATTTAACGAACAATATGATCGCTCAGAGCTCGTCGGTTTTGCCTTTAGTGTGTTGGCCATCGATGACGTGTATCACGTTAACGGCAAATGCTATATGTCTGAAGAAAAATTTGAAAACGTTCAAGAATTTGAAGTCCACCATGAGTGTGTACGGTATTACGATCAAACGGTGATTATTGTTTATAAAGTAAAACTTTATATTGATTCAATATATTCGGCCATATGATTACGATTAAGATGATAGTATTGAGTCGAAAAAAATCGAATCAAAGTTATAAAATAATTATTATTATTTCCAGTGAGTATTGATTGGAGTAAGATTAAAAAGTTACAATTTGTATTTCATTCCGTTTTTATTTTTTTGACTTTTTTTCTATAGTCTTGAAGTATTCTCGCGCTTCTGCGAAGTTAATGCTTTTCCCACTGCTTTTGTTGGAAGAGGTTTGTATATTTGATTTATGTGCCACTGAGTTCTTCTTTTTACCGTGTTTAAATTTAAATTTGATCTTCGAGTCCAGCAGAGTCAACGCTTCTTGAAGAGACGACGCACATAATATTGCATTTAAATCTGATTCGTTTACCGTGTACAATTTATCGCTTGCGGCCGTTTTGTTATCGCCTTCGGTAACATTCTCTCCCATTGTGATTTTTTCAGTTTGTTCCAATTGTACGAACGTTTTTTCAAAATAATCATCGTCCGTAGTTTTTACGCGGTGCACAGACATTTCTAACTTTTGAATGCCAAATGATTTTTCTTTTATGCCACTTTCCGTTTCCGAATGAAGCATTGCAGATGACGTCTCTCCGAATCCTTGGAAACTATTAGGAACACCAGAGTTCTCGGTTTCGACTTCATCGTCAATCGAAGATTGGTAATTACTATTCGTCTTTTCTATATTTACAGTTTTTTTATTACAATACGATGTTACTGTATCACTATCATCTGAATGCTCGTCATACTGCTTATTTTCTTCGTCGTTGGATGCTGTGACGCTATTCAATTGTTTAAATGCAATATCATTTTGTTCACATACAATTTCTGCATGTTGGTTACTATCTATGAATTCTATATTAAAATGATCTTCTATAATATTTTCTTCTTCCAATTTATCGTCAATACTTTCACATGAAGAATGTTCTACTGATAGAGATTTTGTAATATCGGATATTAATACCTGATTAGTGTTAAACTGTTTTATATCCGAGAAATCACTCGATAATTTAAGTTCAAATTCTTTCGGTTCTGAAACAGTTTCCATGTGGACTGTCGGCAAATCCACAATCACATTCATAATTGATACAGATTCAACTTCATTTTTTTCTTCCGATGTTTCTAAGAGTGTTGGTAAAGAATTGTCTAAAGTTGAATCAGTAGGTAGAGTTTTTATATCTTTAGATGATTGTTCAATTAGTTCGCCAGTAATATGTAAATGCTCAGATAAATTATCTTTTTTTATTTCCATTGATTTATCTTTTAGTAAAACTTGAGTAATGATCTCCGTTTCAGTATTAGTTAAAGTTTTTTGTTCTACGTGTAATGGTTTTACGGTAGATATATTTTCTTTTATTACTTCTTCTAGTGGAGTAGGTACAAAATCATCAAGTATCGTAGTTGAAGTATTTAATTCTTTAATCTGTCTTGGCGGTGTTTTAGTTGTAATTAAACTAGCTGATGAACTGTCTGTTAATTTTTTTATTAGTCCTTCTATTGGTATAAGTGATAAATTATCTTGAGCTATATTTTCAGGTAAATTTTCTATTTTCTCTTTCCCTGTTTCTTCATTTGAGATGATTGAAAAATCAGCTGGAGATAAATTTTCTTTTTCTTCTTCTAGTAAACCTTTTGCCAGTATAACTTGTGAACCAATATTTATTGGTTTTATTGTTAAATTATCTATATTTTTTACTATTGATTCTTCAATTGGTAAATTTAAAGATTTAGTTTTATGTACAATTAAATGCACATTTTCTTTATTTATTTCTGTTGGTCTTTTTAATTGTGTCGGTATAGAGTGTGGTATCGATGTAGTATTTAATGATTCTATTTTATCCTTTACTACATCTTCATCAGGTATAGTTAAAGTATTTGATGAAATTAAAAGTTCAGATATTACATTTTCTTTTTTTGTTTCTAACTTTTCTTCTTCCGTTATAACCGAAGTTTCATTTCTAATTAAATTCTTATGTAGTATTTCTTTTTCTATACATAGTAATTCGTCAATTGGTTTATCTGTAATAGCATTTAATGTTAGATTTTCGAATAAATAATTAACTTCTTCTTCCATCGATTTTTTCATTGTTCTAGATACATTTTCAGTTGAAATTAAATTTGCTGAAACTTTTAATTTTTTCACATTCTCTGATTTTATAGGTACTGTACTCGTAATAGAACTATTTGTTTCTATAAATGGTATGTCAATTTGATTAGTGTTATCAACTTGATTATTTGGGTTATAGGAACAATTAATCATCTCAATTGCAATTTCATTTTTCAACTCTGGTGTTACTGTTGGAATACCGTATTCCATTATAGTATTCGATATGATTTCTTTTTCTATTGTCGATGTGTCTCTTAATTGCACTTCGAGATTATCACTTGTGATCAATTTTGAATGGATAATTCTTACTTCATTATTTTCTGGATATTCAACTGGAAAAGAGGCATTATTAGTTACAGTTACACTTTCAGGTATATTTTCTATTTTTTTATTAATTAATGATTCTAACGGTAAAAGATCAATTTTTTCTTTCGTTTGTTCTTCAACTGATATTTTATGAGTTTTAGTTGAATTTTCTATGATATACCGGTTTTCAAATTTCAATAATTCTTCTTTAGGTGGATGTTGTAAATCACTTCCTGTTGAGATTTCAATAAAAGATTCTATTTCTTCTACCTCTATTTCTTTAATCGGTATGATTGGTTTATCAGTTGAATTCAAATTTTTAAATGAGCTTTCTTCTTTATTAAACAGTTCATCTATTGTTAAAACTTGAGAAATACTTTCTGTCGATCTGTTAGACAATTCTTTTTTTTTTTCTTGCGAATCACTTTTCGATAAAACGTGTGAATAAATGTCTACTGGATTCTTTTTTAATGTATCTACATCTTCTTTAACTAGTTCATTGATTGGAAAAACTAAAGAATCAATTGTAAGCGGAGGAACAGTTGAACTGTCTGTTATTTTTTCAATTTCATCTTTTACTATTAAATGTGATGAATAATTTGAAGCTGGATTGACGGATTGATTTTCTTCTTTTTTTACTACTTCTTTATCTGCCAAGGTGGAAGAACCAATTTGAGTTAACTTTTCGCAAATATTTTCTTTTTCTTCTTGTGAATCATTTTTCGATATGACTTGTGAAGCAATATCTATTGGATTCATTTTTAATGTATCTACATCTTCTGTCACTGGTTCTTCGATTGGCAAAACTAAAGAATCAGTTGTAAGTGGAGGAACAGTTGAACTATCTGTTATTTTTTCAATTTCTTCTTCTACTCTTACATGTGATGAATTATTTGAAGCTGAATTGTCGAATTGATTTTCTTCTTTTTTTACTACTTCTTTATCTGCCAAGGAGGAAGAACCAATTTGAGTTAACTTTTCGCAAACATTTTCTTTTTCTTCTTGTGAATCATTTTTCGATATGGCTTGTGAATCAATTTCTTCTGGATTCATTTTTAATGTGTCTTCGTCTTCATTGACTGGTTCTTTGATCGGGAGTGACGATGAATCAGTCATAAGTAAAGGAACAGTTGTATTATCTGTAATATTTTCAGTGTGTTCTTCTACTATTAAATGTGATGAATTATTTGAATCTGAATTAATACATAAGTTTTCTATTTCTTTTAGTTCTTCTTTAATTGCCAAG